ATGTTAGGCTGTCAAATCATGTAGACCCCGCATTAATAAACCCCTGCCTTTAAAGGGCCGTAATATTAAGGTTCCTACTATAATCCGTACTAAGGGGAGAGGGTGTATTAATCACTGGTCTGCATTAAGGACGGTTTTCTGTGCTTGCGTCAATTGAGTTAGGTTCTTCTAATGTACGTTAGAGTACCACAGCCAGGAGGATACAATCTTGTTCTGTACTATGCTCGGGACTATAGCATGCCCTTTACACAACTATTCAAACCAACCCATGAACACTTCAACACGGCAAAAAGGCACCGCTTTTGGTTCGTCGGCGTCTCTTGGAGACATCTTGTGGGTTGGAGACACATGAGCTCTAGACTCTGATAGGGACTATACTGCATATACAGTGATGAATTAGGGGTGTAGAGGATTTAGACTTGTAGCTCATGTGTCTGACGCGGTAGTGTGACCAGTCAGCTGCCCCGAATGCTCGCCAGTTCCAGGCCCTCCCCATGTCCAGCCTAGGGTGATCTTGTTGGGAGCAGGAGCGGTAGCAGGATTCAAGTAATTTGAAAAGAGGAACACAGTAACCTCGTAGCACCCGCTACAATGCCGCTACAACTTCCATGCAATCCCTATGCCCTGGTATCTCCCCATGGACTTCTATGGCGCTAACGCTTACGGGGAGGGGTACCGTGACACCGGGATCTCTCGAGGTCTCAACAACAGCCATGAAAAATTCAGGTGGAGGCAGCCATACTCTCTGCTGGCCAATTTATGGCGGGGTCGTTGTAACTTGTCCAGTCTCTGTGAGCTGCGGTACATGAAGCCTCCTGCAAGGCACCTCTTAGCCGGGGTTCTGAAGTCTACTTCGCCTACCGCTTACTAGGGGGGGTCCTTGTGGAACTACAAGGTTGCAAATGAAATATAGTCCAAACTCTTAGTATCCCACTTTATAACCTCTAATATTCCCCTACATCATCCCCTATATAAGCCTTACTATAGCTCAAATGAAGAGTCCAGAGGAGCCCCTTCCACACTGGCATTGCAAGGAAACCTCCCGTTGTGGGCCCAAAGTTCGCCTGCGCTTTATAACCGCATAGAAACACCGAACCCTTGATAGGTAGGGGTAGAGAAGGAGTGTATAGGGGCTTATAGGGGTTCTATTGGGATGATGGAAAAAGGAAATGGAAACTACTTTTTAGGCTTTAAAAGCCCAGAGGTAGAGAAATGCTTGTGAAGACTTTGCTGCGGCCTGTGACCCTGTGAATCTGTCAGCAAGGGGTTATGGTCCCCCCTACATAGATAGAATATGGGATATATGGGGATCTTGTTATAATCTACCCAAAGCCATAGTCTATCTACTGAAGGGGAAACTATACGTCTGTTTATGCAACGGTTAACGAAAGCAAGACGTCATGTCGAACCTACTCCGGCATATATAGACAAGGGACCGTAACTGGGATGCTGTTCAGGAGCGTGCATTAAGTTACTATACTCAGGAAGCCCTATTATTTACAATATACCCATATGAGGAAGCCATATAATTTACTATATATCCATTATACCCATATGGTAACTTGAGCCCTAAGCCCTATACACCCATTGCGTGGCGTGGATAGCCGCAACCTGAGAGAAATCTGAACTCATCGCCTCATCTTACCAGGATCCCCTCCAGGGTTTAGGGTTTAGGGTTTAGGGGATTTTAGGGTCAGGTCATTGCCCCTCACAGCAACATTGATCACAAAAGGCACTGGGAGTTACAATACCCTCTTAATAAGTTAAGAGCAGGTACTGTAACGGGGAACGACCCGAAGTTAGGGGACTTACTGCACCTAAAACCTAAACCCTAAATCCTATGTATACCTATAACCCCCGTATACCCCATAAATTCCCATATCCTTAATCCTATATATCACTATATACCCTATATGTCTGCATATCCATTTTCAGAGATCAGAAGATGTCCTCATTGGTCTGGATTACCGTGGACTGTGGATGCAGCGTGACCCCCAAAATCCCAAAGTCCTTCATGAGGGGGCCCTTCATAAATGACCCACAAGCCCTAACTCCCGATCACCAGTCCCTATTCCCTAAACCCCTAGACCCTAAACCCAAAAACTATATCCGAAGCCCTATTCAGTGGGCAACTTCCACCTGTTCTGATTGTAGGTTCTGCGTTTCTGCGAGCGGGAGGATTCCCGACGCCCACACTACCCTTTGGGCTTAGGGTTTCGGCGTTTAGGGTTTGGGGTCTACGGTTTAGGGTTTAGCTAGGGGTTCAGGGTTTAAGGCCAAGGTTTTAGGGTCTTAAACCCTAAACCCCAACCCTGGGGTTTAGGGTTTCGGGGTTTAAGTCACAGGGTCTAGGGGTGAGGGGGCCATCTGAAGCGTGGGTTAGACAATAGGGGACTGAGTGGGTTCTACAATGAAGGGCTGGGGAATACAGCGGTTCTAACGTCAAAGGCTTAGGGCTTAAGGGATCATGGGGTTCCAGGATTTAGGTTTAGGTCCAGGGTCAGGTGTTTAACGCTTCGGGGTTGAGGTTTTCAAATTCAGGTCGTCCATTCCACGCTTCAAGGACTGCGGGTGCATGCTCAGCACAGAAGACAGCAAGAGTAATTGTCTAGGTAATGGGGCCAGAGAACCTCATGTTGTCTACAGTGCTTCTTTGAACAAGCTGAAACCTTGGAAGCCGTACTGACACAGGGCTTGCAGATGACAGCAGAACTGAGCATGAAGGGGTTGATCTGCACCCACAGGGCGCACCTGTTCGTGGGTTTGCACGGGTTGGTGTGGGAGTCGTAACGTGCGCAAAAATTCTCAGGACAACAGTGGCACGGCAACATACCCACGAAAGCATACTAAAACCATGTCGTCACATTGCCAAACACTCCCTACCGATAATCGAAAAGCGATGCAACTTTTAAATCATGACAAAACATCCATCAGCCAAACTTCCGAAGAGATGCCGCTACCTCAGCTTAGGGCAACGGCAAGTGAAACAATGCGTGATGTCTCCACATGGGATATTCCTGTAATCATGAGAGGCGGTGTCACCTTGGTGAAAATGTGCGGTGACATTAGTCAAACCAGTGTGAGAAATTGTGGGAGTGGAGTAGAAGTCGTCGTCGTCATCATCATCATCATCATGATGCTGCGCTGCTGCCATCAGGAGTAGTAGCAGCTGCTGCTGCTGCTGCTGCTGCTGCTGCTGCTGCCATTCTCATGAGACAGATTTTCCCATTGCGAAGAATTACGATACTAAGACTGAAGCCGGCCCCACATTCTGCCCCAAACATCGGGGTTCTTGACAGACGGATGCCCCAATTGGACCCTGGGATTTGCGATGCACCTCACCCTTTTTGATACCCCAGTGGCCGTTGTGAAGACCATTCTTTTCCCCAATTGGGAGACACCCCTAACTCTCAAGCGGCGGAGAGCATGCGCAATCTTCCGATGCTAGCACCAAACGGCAAGCTTGTTGTCCCAAACTGATAGCATCCTTCCACTAAGGATCTGGAGGAGTGAAGATACTCCTAGATGCATAACCGCGAGTGCTGTCGAAAACGAGCTGGACATTCTTCCCGCCGGAGGCAGGAAGGTGTGTATTCGTCTGGCGCTAACATGACTTGTACTGGACGACACTAGGCGGGATCTTTTGCCCGAACGCAAAGGGGATCCAAAAGGATTTGAAATCGAATCGAAGCCAAAAGGTGGTCTTCGCTGCTGCAGGTATCGCCGGCAATTCCAGTTGTCGTCTACTAGATATCACTGTATTAATGATGATGACATTCCGAAGCTGAACAATATACTGCACAATCCAAGAGCCTGGACAATCATCACTGGAAGGTCACCTCGGTACCTGCCCGCAAGCCAGGTCCTTTGAGCCCCCAATTTCTGGGAAAATGGCGATTCAGCCTGCCTGTCCTACAGGCCTGTCCTTCAGGCAGCAAAGGGTGATCTCAGCTTATTGGCCTTCTTGGGTGGCCACTTTGTGACCGGGTACTTCTCAAAATGCACACAGTTGTTACGTAGTGACTATGAGAAGAAGTAGCACTTGCATGTGGCTATGAATCTGTGTGCAAAGCTTTGCAGCAACTCATTGTTGAGAGGCTTTGCGCAGGAAATCTCACTGTAGGCAGCACGGCGAAATTCCACCTTGGGCCATGTTCTCTGAGTTTCAAGATTCTTCGGGGCTGTGTAAGGGATGGCTTTCTTGCAGAAGGCTGGATTGCAAAGGAAGGGCTTGAAACCTCTTCGGGAATGAACAACTTTTCATAATTTTATAGTAGCTTCAAAAAAACAATAACAGTAACAAGAGTAGCTCTATGACTTTGAGAAAAGGCGGGTGTTGAGCCACCGTCTGGACTTCAGGGTTCAGGGGACTCCTTTAGGGTTTGGAGTTTAATTAGGGCTGAAGGTTTGACCCTAAGCCCAAGACCCCTTTTGGAACAGTCTTTCTGACCTAAACCCCCTAAAACCCTGAACCCTAAACCCTGAATGATCGCTTGCGGGTTTAAGGTTTCGGGTCCGGGGGGTTGGGACTAGAAGCCTGACAGAGCACCCGTCAAGCAGTCGCAGGGCCGCCTCTGGGGAGGATGACTACTGCTAAAGTTCTTTACAAGGTTTAGAGTACTATACAAGGGTTATATAGGGATAGTGGAAAAGAAATGGATGGTACTATTTAGGCTTTACGGTTAGGGGATATAGGGTTTAAGTTGGGTCCTTCCCTCAACCATTGACAGTCTACAACAAGGGTCATACTAAGGGCTATATCTAACTATAATATAGCTATTGGGCAGTACCCATGCTATAGTTCTCACCTTTTCTAACTAACTAGCACTATAGGACTATGGGACTATAGGAGATTACCGCATGTTAACTTGGACTTGCCCAACATTGCCCCAGCTTATACTCCCTAATCCCGGATCCCTAAATCCTTTTCCTAAACCCTAAACCCTAAATCCTAAACCCTAAACCCTAAACCCTAAACCCTAAATCCTAAACCCTAAACCCTAAACCCCAAACCCCAAAAAACAATTCGTCGAGACACACACTGGCGCCGTGGTGTTGACTCCCACGCCGCAATCACCGCCCCCGGCCAAAGAAGTTTGAAGAAAAACTTGACCTCGGCTTCTACAGATGGTTTTGGGGTTTAGGGTTTAGGGTTTAGGGTTTAGGGTAATGGGAAATATAACCTCTATATAGTACATTCCCCAATAATGGAGAATCAAATGGAAAAGAAAGTGGAAAATGATGGAAACTGGGATTATAAGGTAGTTTACTGGGAGTAGGGTTTAATGCGAGCTGTAGTCTAAACTCCTTAAAGGGGGTTGTATAAGGGATTATATAGGGGAGTATTCTAGGGCTTATTAAGGGGGACATTAGAAGTTTAGACTATAGCTCATATGTGGGTAATGGAATTGGGGTTTAGGGGTCAGGGTTCTGGGTTTGGGGATTAGGCGTTCGGGTTTAGGGGCTTGGGTTTAAGGATAAGTGTCTAAGATGTAGAGTTCAGATTTTTGGACGAAAGCTTAGGTGTTTGCCCTGTACGGTCACAGATCCCGCAAAATGCAATCCCAAACACCTGCCAGGATCTAGAAATTAGATCCCGGATATCAGCCCATGCTGACCCCTGTGTCATCTCTATAATTCTTCATAGGATTCTGGGGGATCTGATTTGTATTTCTCTCTGGGAGTTCTGGGATAGGAGTTGAATAAATCCCTGAGTAGCAGCCCCTGTTAAGGACAGGTGCTGTGAGGGAACTGACCAAGGGTGAGGGGTTTAGGGCGTGGAAGAGGCCGTAGACCCCTCCACGCCACACTCCGCACCCTCATGATTCTTGAAATTGATGTGAGAAAATAGACCAGGGCGTGCTTAGGGTTTTGAGGCTTATCAGAAGGTAATACTGTGGGGGAGAGGTCTTGAGAATATGGCTTCATCTACCCTGTAACGCTTTCAAAAATTGTTTTTGCTGCTTCAGTCTCCTGAAGGTGTAGAATCAGAAAAAATTGCAGGACACCCCAGATCCATGCGCCTATCTCGAAAAAGGGTACCCTTAGGCCTCAGGCCTTAGGTCCCTCTAGCTTGGCCTCGGCCGGGGCAAAGGCTTAAAGAGAAAAATGCAAAATCTGGTACTGAATGGGTGCTTGCAAAAAAAGGCGTCCTTCGGTAAGAACCCATAGAGTAAGGTTTATGGTGTGGGGGTCCCCCCCATGTATGGAAAGCATAGATCGAAGACCTAGAAGCGAGTTGAAGTTATTGCAGCCCAGATCTGCAAAGGGATCTAAAAAATGGATCCCCTAGAAAAATAAGGGGAGATATGTATGGAGTATATTTAGCGATCTGAATGGGGGTATATAGATGATCTAATTTGCAGATTGTCCCAGCAGCAAGGGAATAGCCAGTGGACATAGGTTCGTATTAGGAAATTTACTCAGGACTATACGAAACCACCGAAGGGACCCCAATGTTCACCCTTAATGGTGTCTTGGTACACTAATGTTGACAGTAGCTCATATAGTCCCTATAAGACACTCGTGTATAATCCCAATTGGTCTGTTTGAGGTATCCTAAATCAAAAAGACCAGAAACCTAGGATCAAACACCCTAAACCCTAAACCCCTAAACCCCTAAACCTAGGATCAAAATATTGGTAATCATTCCGACTTCTACGTTCGGCCAAAAATGATTGTCTAATGCGGCACTAGCAGCTGTTTTCCCTGGAATACTAAATGGGGGTTTCCCAAAATTAGGGGTACCATTTTGGGGGTCCTAATAATAAGGATTATAGCATCTTGGGGTCTATATCGGGGTCCCCCTATTTAGGGAAACTCCCAAATGCCCTTCACCCTTTTGTTCTTAAGGTCCTGAAAGAACAAGTCCATGCCCATGCATCTCCACCTCCCGGATGTGCTGTAATTATCCACTTGTCATGTGGAAGTGGGCAACGCAAAGATTCTGGAAGCCGTCGTCTCCAACAGGTTCGAGCGCCTTGTTTGCATAGCTGCCCAAAACTTCAGCAGAGTATGCCATCCTCTCCCGCAAAGTTCGGGCTGAAGCCAGGCGAGGGCACAGGCAGCAAGCCCTCCTTTCTCACCCCAAACATTTGGGCTTCTCAAAGTTGAGAGGGTACTTTCTTGGGGTTCCTGTTAATAAGGGTTCTGGTGTTTTCGGGAGCCCTCATGCACACTCCGGGAGTAATACTTGCTCTTGTGGTTGTCTCTAATTGCGTGTACCCCAAACCCGGACTTCTTGAGAGGATCTAGAAATCAGATCCCCTATAGCAGCCCAAAGCAACCCCTACATGAATCCTACATGTTGTCCATATTGTTCTCAGATCCATATTATGGGGTTTCCCCAAATTAGGTACCATTTTGGAGGTTCCCATGATCAGGACTCTAGTATTGACAGGCCACGGGTAGACTCCAGGATTGGAATGGAGAGCGACATGTGCTCCGGCGCCTCACAGGCTTCAAGGCTTGGCGGGCTGGGCACCCTAAACCCTAAACCCTGAACCCTAAGACCAAAACCCTTTGAAGACAGGACTCCGAATCCTAAACCCTAAGCCCTAAGCCAAAGTTCCTTTCAAACCAGTACTCCTTGACTCCTAAACCCTACACCCTAGATGTACATGACAGGTTTGGTTCGGAACTCGGAGCCTTAGGCTCTGCCTGAAGATCCTTAGCCTACCATGATTCGGGTACTGCCCCCACCTAATAACAAGTCTATAATAGATGTATAGTCCCCCTAAAGTAGATAGAATATGGCTTTGGGTAAATCATAAAAGACCCCCATGTACCCCATATTCTATCTACTTAAGGGGGGCTGGAATATTAAGGGCAAGGGTTTAGGGGTATATAACCCCATTCTAATCATTCTCCAGCTGTTACTGGTAGACTGCTGTAGTGTCTTTCGGATAGACTTGAAGTGATATTACTTGGAATCTCCCCCCAGCCACTAACAGTCTCCAGAAAAATCAATGGCAAATTCTATTAATTCTTGTATAATCCCTATCTATGACTGTTAAGGGTTAACCCAAGAGATTCCGGCCCCCAATTCCCTAAACCTTGAACCCTAAACCAGTTCTAGTCAACAGATTAACCCGGCAGGCCTCACTCTAGCTGCTTGGTCATTGCGTTCTCCAACTGTACAGGTCTTCTTCATGATCCCAAACTACAAGTGCGCGCTCGAAATTTAGAGTGTAGAGTTAAGGGTATAATCCCCCATAATCCCCGTGCTCTCCTAGGGAAAGTACAGCATCCGCTCAAGCGCAAGGAAAGCTTTGTGTCCCATCACAAATCGCGTATCTAACTACAGTTTGCTGAGGGTTTGGGGCTTGCTTTGTCTGCGTATATACAACCTGAACAACATAACGTATCCATAAGCCTCTGTCTCCGTGGTATTTTTGCAAGCCGTCGATCTAAAAGCCTCAGAATTTTGTATAACCCCACCCACGATCAAGAAAGGGACCAACAGCTTTGAGAACCCACTCAAAGCTAAACCCGGATCTCGAGACCACTGCTATATGCATACGAATCCCTCATGTCCTCGACCCTGCCCCCGTCACCGGGGACCACAAGTTTTACAGAAACTGCGAGGCCTTCAAGTTGGGCTTGGCCACAAGAAGGCTGCTGAGCCACTTTCCGTACTCAGGGAGCATGCGCTTCCTTGATGGCTAGTGGGTTGAGGTGTTTAGGGTTTCTTGACACTGGTTCCTACGCAAGCTGGAGTGGTGGAGCGAACGCAAAGAAAACAACTTCCAAACGCCAGAAATATTGCGACGACAGAAATGATATCTGTATTCATGTACATCCACTTAGGGGCTAGTACAGAGGTGCCTTCTTGAAATCTGTGCTCTCGTTGCACCGACACCGGGACTCGAATTCTGAATTTTACATGTAAATGTAAATCCGATTACCTTCAGTGTTATGGATTATGCCTACCAATTCAGGGACACTTACTACAAAACTGTAGATAGTTGGTGTTGCAGGAAGACTCATTTCAGAGGTTTGCCTTCAGGTTTGAGGAATTGATGTCTTGGCTACACGGACTACGCAGGATCTAGGCAGTGAATATTGGGATTCTATATAGGGATATACGGACTATGCTAGAATCAATGGAAAAGAGATGGAACATGGAATGGAAACTGGGGTTGTTCCTAGAGATATTCGGGATTGTTCTGAATAATTACATGTATTGTTTGGGCTTCGATTTCAAGTTTCCTATACCATACTTACACAAGGAATCTAGGGCCACATCATTGCCAATTATTGAGCATCTGCAAGTATGTACTACAAGGGTGTATATGTCGTATGGTCGGTGCGTGGTGTAGCAAGGAGGGTTTGACGGATCTTGCAATGCAAGCAATGGGGGCGTACAGCGTTGCAGAACCTGATGTTCTCCTGCAAAGTTACTTGGGTTGGGGGGTTGGGGCGTCTTCATGCGGATTCTTGGAATGGGTTTGGCGGCGGTTTGAGGTAAACGGGCTTTGACCACTCTTGTTTGCAAATCCGCGGTTGGTGCGGGTGCTCAAGGGACCGAGGGCAGCATTTTTCCTTCCACCATGACAGGCTCAAGTCAGGCTCCTTGTGATCTTATGCATGAAAATCAAACCTCAAGTTCGTACATAATGCAAGTCTGCAAGGGTCCCACAAGTTCAATTGAGCCTCATCGGAGAACAGTGGAACAAACTAAACAAAGTGCCACGGTATTCTCGCGCATCAGCCTTTGTATCATGGAGGATACGCAGGGGAGCTCTGGCTCTTACAGCTAAGCGGGATATATAATCATACCGTCTTGGGGGGACGTATAAGTCTTTCAATTACACCTTTTGTAACGCTGCCAGGCCACACCAGCCCATGACCAGTGTACATGCCGTTGTTGAGGGGCTCGTACGTGAACTTCACCACAAAGACCTGCTCCTGGCAGTTGCCGGACTACTGTAGTTGTGCGGGCCTGTTGCCAAAGCACACCACACAGGTGTTTACAAGAAATGACATCCTACGTACTCCCAAAACAAGCACCCTCAAAGGAACCCAGCCTAATAGAAAGCCCCTCAAAAGACAGCCAAACAAAAAAAATCTGTCAGAGAGTAACACAGCTTCTGGGTGATGAAGCTTCTTCATGCCTTCCTGCCCCTAGACTCTAAACCCTAACCCACGTCCCTAGGCAGCCCTGAGGCATGAGATTACGTAATACTTTCATACTAATGTTACACCCCTCCCCCCGTGATATTAGTAGTGGGGGATACTTAATAATAGTATGAAAAGTATTCAGGATGTTTCCGAGAACTTTGTTGGGGGGCCGGGAGCCATGCACATCATAAGGTGGTTCTCTGTACCAGCACAGTCAACCGCGAACCCCTGATTCTCGGAAACTTACTTCGAACCCTCAGGACTAACATCGCCAAGCCCCAACCCGAACCGTTTTATGTCCAAGTTTTTCGGGGTTACCTACAGGTGAATACTATTTACCCCTTAATCAATAGGTATACGTAACCCATGCAATTCTAGAATTCTAGGTAAGTTGGGTTACGGGTGAGCTCTACACCCCAAAATCCTAAACCCTGAACCCCAAACCCTAAACCCTGAAACCCAAAACCCTAAACGCTGAACCCTGAACCCCAAGCCCTACACCCTGAACCCCACACTCCAAACCCTGAACCCAAACGAACATCTGTGACTCTGAGCGCCACACCTTGCGGACGGCCTTCTGAAGCCTATCTTCCGAAATGCCTTTGCCTTTTCCAGGATGCTTCAGGCTTTAGGGTTTAGGGTTTGGGGTTTATCAGGGTTTAGGGTTTGG